GTGTGCACATATTTATCAGTGGATTTCACTTTCGATTAGTTGATAAACAGTCTGAGTGATTTCTTGTGGAATATCAATAATAGTTTAACATATGGTTAAATATGAATATATCTGCCTAGACTTAGCGAACAAACAGCTTAGCAATGAAGCTATGTGGCAGACGTATTTTAATCAGACTAGCCAGTGTATTTAAGGTGCATGAATGAGAGCCTGGCAGTGATAGGCTTAAAACTAGCAACGTCTTCCTTTAAGTGCCTGGTGCATTGCCGGTTAAGCTATATAGAGATCACTTCTTTGTTAAACAGTTCACTCTGTAAGACAGGTTAACAGCGAATAAGACAACACAGATAAATATGCTGTAGTTACTATGTTTGTCTTTAAATTACAAGTATTGCCCACTTATAAACGCGAGGTGAACTGGACACGGGTGACTTAATCTCCTCAATGAATGTTAATTTCTGACTTCTGGAAAACTAGTTCACTAAGTAGTCAGCTGAATGGAGATTCAAGTATTCATGGTATGTGAGAAGTAAAACTAATGTTGGTAAGTTTTATACTCAGAAAATTAAATGCGGCTAGTAATAATTATGGAAAGATATTTGGATGTGTAACAACAGAAAAAAAGTTTGGAAGACTGTTGAAAATATGAATACAAATGTTTGTTTGAACTTAACCATCTGGAGCGAATTTTTAGTGTACCAGGATGTGATCCACATCTGTTGTGTGACGATACTATTCATTCACTTAGTCTGAGGTATGCGAAGGGGTATTCGGGTCCTGTACCCCCTAGCTTACTTCGATGGCACAGAGGTAGAATGCTCGCCAGTCACTCACGTATTTCAGGGTTCGATCCCCACCAAACGCACTCCTAAATCTCGCTTAGTTTATAATAAGCCCGGCAAAGAGGGAAGGCAGTGCGTGAGACTAGCAATCCCACCCCATAAAAATAAAAAAATCACTGCTACTGAAACTTCAAAGCCCTAGCCTGAAGCCCTGCGTTCCATTGGGAATGCAAAGGAATAAAAATCCCACTGACTTAAGCCAATAAGACATGTATCCCCACAAATTATTTTAAGATAGATACGATCTATAAAATTACTAAAACATCGAGTAATGTTTTTAATGACTGTTTAAGTTTAATTTAAGGTGCATTATCGGAGTGTCAATGTTAGATTCTTAGGTAACTGTCTTCACATTCAGGCCCTGTATATGATTTAAGTAGCACGTATCTCTAACTAGTTCTAATCTATGATAAAATACTGACAATTAAGCAGTGTCACAAGTGAATGATGACAGCCACAACTGACTCAGGTTTTCTAATATCCTTAATCTTGTTTTCACAGTTTGTGTCGCTAGCTCAGTAGTAGAATGCCTGCCAACTTCACTCGTGTAGTACGGGTAGGATTCTCGGTTGACGCACTCATAAACCTCACTAACCGGGAACAAGATCGGGAAAGAGAGGAGTGGAGGTACGAGGCTAGCAAAGCCGCGTCGTAGGAAAACAGCACCTCTGCCATTGAAACTGTAAAGCCCTATTTTCTACTCGGGACTCAAAAGAATGAAAAAAGTAGTAATCATGTACTCCACATATTGTTGAAAAATAATAGCTTACAGGATACATAAAGAGACATTTTAATTTTAAAGAAGTTATAGACTTAATGTTTCTCACATTGTGTTACTGATTCTAGTATATAAAAAAATACCTCAGATAATTAGGTTGCCATAAGCTCTCCTAGAAAAAAGAACACACTTTAAGCAATGATTCATCTATACAAATAAATAAAAAAGAGACATAGGTCACTCAATATGTAAACAGTTTTTGGCTAAGACAAACTGATGACTCATCGAGGTGTGAATGTTGAAGGGTCAGATGTTATAGGATTCAGTGACAATTTGCTTTAAGTACCACTAGTGCCAACTGATCAAAAGTCATTTTTGTAACCGGGCAGCTAAGACATTAAAATCAATAGATTTTTCAATAAACGGTTGTAAGATACTAAAAATTATTAGTTGGCTAAAGACATACGCAGTAAGCTTTTTAAAATCTAGTCAAAAGGTGTCCAGTAGTTAGTACAGATAGATAGATCTTTGACTCACCAGTTTCTGAATGGTTAATCATTATAGTGTCTGTTTTCTTCATGATAAACCTATTCCCTATAAGATTATGTATATTTATTATTTCAGATATGAATATCTAATTCATCACATAGACTAGTCAACCGCTTCGATGTCTATCTTTTCGATTCACTTGTGAGGAAAGCTGCGAAACACGGTGTTTTATCTATTGTATTGTATGTTTCTGTATACCATCAGACGGAGCCCATACTATCCTACTTGTCCATTATTTAGACGCTAACTCATTTACTTAATTGTATATGGTTGATTAAGCATTCAGCATTTTCAACGCATTAATAGAATCTGAGAATTACTCCTTTTTTTCTTCCACATTTTTGAAACAAATCCTCATTTCACTGGATTTTACCTCCTAAAATGCTATGAATGCAGTGTGAACTTGAAGACTTTATGATGGCTATTTCAATCACATAGACTTATGACTTTAGTGCAGCGATATTCTTGTGATTTCAACAGTTGAATGTGACGATGGTAGTTACAAAAAGCTAAGATTTGGAACAGAATTATATCTTTTATGACGTCTAGCATGCAATCTATTGTTTCTACCTACTTCCATTTCATGAATTTCCCCCGGCTATAGCCTAATGATATGTAATACTATTCTTCAAGTATTGGTTTTGTAGGGATTTTGTTTGGTTGGATGGAGGATTTCATCATGAGCTGACATCAGTTAGAGAACCCCTGGAAAACCTGGGAGTACTGGATAACCGTTTCGTCCTAGTTTGGGACTCTTCATCAGTACGCACCCACCGCTAAGGTTCGAACCCAGGACCTTCTGGTTACAAGACGAGCTTGTAGACCATTGAGCCACTGGGACCTGATCCAATAGCCCATGAATTTTAACTTCTGCCAATTCATGACATAGCACGACCATTTAGCAATGTATTCTTCAATGAGTTACTGCCTCATCTTCAACCTGCTGTTCGAACCCTAGCGGTGGGTGCATACTTATGAAGAGTCCCAAACTAGGATGAAACAGCTGTCCAGTACTCCCAGGTTTTTCAGTGGTTCTCTAACTGATGTCAGCTCATGATGAAATCCTCCATCCACTATAATACTATTATCCAACCACCTTCTGCTGTAAATAAAATTTGCTGACATATATTCAGGAATGATTTCCTTTTATATAGATGCAATATTATTAAAGCTTTGCTATATCTTAAGATCAATATATAACTATTTAATAATTTATAATATTAGGACCATAAGAAGAGTTTGAGCAATATGGCAAATACTGTTTCAACATGGTTTGTTTATTAGACATAGCGTAACAATAATATTCATTCGATGTATCGTGAGGTGAATTTAATGAAGAATTTGCCTTTTTGTAGATTAAACAGATGGGAGTGAAATTTTGCAGACCATAGTATATGTTCACTTGATAACATAAACAGCAATCAACCAAGCACATACAAATAAATGCATGATACTATTTACTACTGACTGATTGACAGGAGTAGTTTGATAACAATTATTCAACCAATTGTACTTACTAGGCAGGTCGAAGTCATCTAAACAATGGATGACCACTTCGTTTGTTAGGGGCCAAGCTTATTAACAGTGTACTACTCAGTTGAGCTGAAGTCAAAAGGCCAAATTACTTAAAAGCAAGAGAATTCTGGCTAGGTACTTAAGTGACTAACAGAATGCAACGCAGTGGATCAGACACAATACACTCGTCTGGTAACCTGATGCTCTTGAACTTTTCCCTTATTCGGGCTCTGATTGTAAGCCTTTCAGAAGTCTCAAATAAGATAAACATAGCTGTTCATTGATTTCCAGTGTTTCTTTCAGGCAGTGAAGATTAAAGCTGGTAATTATTTGGAAATAACAATAATATTAACCTACTGGTAATAGTGATTAGAACCGCAAACATCAAATAAATGTCTAAAGGAATTTACAAAACATTTTAAGTTGTCTAAACAAATGAAAAATAATAGACACAGCATTATGCAATTTGTCTAGAAAAGCCCACTGAAATGGCATTAGACGTATTAAGTGAAATATCGTGGAAAATTGTCGAAAATACATTCCATATCAGTTCATTTATAAGATAGATTATGTGGTGAAATAGTATTATTCGCTGAATGAATTTTGTGAACAGAATTTATTAGCCGACACACTTTATTCCCTGGTGATTTTGTTGCTTTAAATGACGCTTTGACCTCTGCTTGTTTAAGTGTCCTAGGCGGAATTTCACAAATTTATTCTTTTTGCAGTTTTAGGAGTAGAATATGTGGCATGTGCTGCTGATAAAATTTACCAGTGGTATATAAAGAGACCTCCATGGGCATAAAAACAGCAAATGGCAGGGGGATACATTTGATTTCAGTGAAAGCGAATGATGCAGCGTCGCGGAGATACAAGGGAGACGTGATAGGAACACTAAGAAACACAATATGTAGACCCGATAGCACAACACGGAAGATGTGTGCAAATGGTGGGTTGAATATAAAGTGCACATAATTTCGCCATATAGAGTCGCCAAGTTTCCCGTTAACTACCGTTATAGATATACACAGGACGACTGTTCCATGGTCCACAGTATACCCACTCAAAATTAAGGCAACAGCATTCATTTTTACAATGGAATATTCCATTAAATAAAGATGTCAACTAACATGAAGTGATTTATGACATTGTATTTATCTTAGTTTATTCGGTGACACAACTCTCAGGGTACACCAATACCCTAAAATCGATGGTGCTGAGTTAAAATGAAATGTTTACATCAATATTCGTGCTATGAGAATAATTCATAAATAATTAATTAGCTTTGATTTTCATTCATTTAACATACTTATTGAATTCTGTCTTTGTTTCTTTATTGAAAAAATATTTCTCATTTGTTATTTTTCTACTTATAGAGGGGAATTGTTTGCATTTGAATCCCGGTTAGAGAAAACAGCCAATCAAAATTTATCACTCGCTTTTCACTTAGCAACAGCAGAATTCGCTGCTCCTAGACTTCTAGAACCAATTGATATGCGTCCAGAGAATGTAGATGCACGATCGACTGCTGTGTATCTTTTGGAATTGCGTAAGGCAGTTGAAAGGGATCGGAAACGTCGCTCTAGAGGTATTTTAGAAATACAAACGTCTGCTATGGTAAGCCATCTATCTTGTTAGAGACAGTTTTTTATAAAATCCTTAGAGTTTTGGTTTATGACCATTCTACCAGTTGCCTTTTTTAAATCCTTGAAGAGTTATCTTGTAGTGTAATTGGTGGTGTAACTTAACCATCGTCGTCGTAGAAGCAGATGTCCTGCCACAGAGTTGTCTCGATAATCCATAATAGGGTAATCCAAGGGCTGTTGAGAAGGTAGTTTACTTTTCCAGCACTATGCTCAGAATATTCCCTCACATCCTTATTTGTCGGTAATTGACTTCGGATGGGAATTTTGATATCATCATTTAAATTGAGGGGTGCGGAGGGTAGTTAAATTCCACCTTCGCATTATTTTATTTTACTATGGCTTTACTTACTTATAAATACAAAGTGACCATTCGTTCGCGTGGCACGACATTGATGTTTTGTTTCAAATGTCTTCTGGAATATCTAAACCTATTGTTTGTGTTTCATAAAATTCTTAAAAAGGGTCGTTTCATGTCTACAGAGAAACTCATCCTTATAATTACAAATTATTTTAAACATTTTTTCCTTTGATCAACTTGCATAGAGCGGGAACAACGGGAAAAAGGGTGATATGATACTACTATGTTTCATCGATTCTTTTCAACTGTTTGCATTCCGACAAAGATTATGATATGAAAATTCATAGATCATCTTCGGCATACTTCAGTCATTTGGTTTAAAAGTGGGAGGATATAATTATAACCCAATTGGCATCTGCAATTACTAGACAGGTTGGCAAGGTCATCTATGCATTGAAAGAGTGGATGAATTTCTCCCAAATAAAAAGACAGATTAGACATGAAATAAGTGAAAAGATATTTTGGATGTGTGAAATTACCAGTACAGGTTGTTCTAGGAAATATGTGTTTAAAGGTTAAAGTAACTAAATTCAGTAGAGTTGAATATTAAGATCAAGAGTATGATAGGTGTGAAATTTTCACATTTTAAGACTGAAAATAATTGCGATAAAGAATAATATTACCGTGGTGAGGAAAGATATCGTATATCCACTAGTCTAAGAATTAATTTTGTGGTGGTGTGATATGGACAATATGTTCCAACAAAAAAATTATTCTCACATATTCCCACAGTTCAATATGGCATTAGCAACAGAATACGATATATCTATTTGAACATTCTGTTTGTCTCTAGAGTCAAAATACTACTCCCACAGTTGGATACTATGTTAGCAACAGAATACTGTGTATATTTGAACATTCTATTTCATGTCGTTTAATGTAAACCAAAATCACAAGCTCAATGATTGGTTAAAGAATACAAATTATATATATATATATATATATATATATATATATATATATATATATATATATATATAGAAAAACATATATATATATATACATATGAACAGCGGTTTGATTAATGAAAAATATACCTTGGCTGCCGTGTCTTGCCTTCTGCTATTACAATGTAATAACTTTATTGGTATAATCAGATAAAAGACATATAAAAGGATTAAAGAGTAGGGCGAATAATACTGAAAGTTTATATGGAAATGAACCTAAAATCAGAGTCTAAACGGTATTGATATGAGTATAAAACTTGGGCACTGTGGTAGAGTATAACCCCATCATAGATAAGATTTTATTTTGATAAATCACACAGCGTTATACAGTAATATTAACTGATGACGTTTCGAGCACAAATTATTGCTCATAATCATATCAAGTCACTCACACAACTTTCTGGCTTCATTTACATACATGAGTGAAATTAATTAGACATTTGAATAAAAATCAATATATGATTACGTGCATTCAGAAATAATATTAGTGTTATCAATCCAGTTAAATTTTAAAAAGGAATGTAAACTTCTCTCAGCTGAACAAAAGTAAGACAGGAAAGTTCAAGAGTCTTTTAAATAGAAGTAAATAGCGGTATTTTCTGTGAACGCATTTATATATGGAATGTATTAATGACAAAAATTACCGGTGAAAGAAGTAACAGTAATGAATTCTTTCTTAATTGACTAAAGATGCCCATTAAAATTTTTTTTCCAAAAGAATAGACACGGAACAAAGAGTACTCTTTTCGATAAATTCATCATCAGGTTCTACAATTATATATACATTATAATGAATGAATGAATTAGTCTTATGAACGACATTAATGTTTAAATAACATCAAATCAATAATATTGATAAATTACAGCTGAATAGCATCAACATCAAATAAACTGAATGTCAGAAGAATTAGGAAAGGTAATAGTACAAATTCATGAGTTTATAGTCTCTACTGAGGGCCAGGGCATTAGTAGGGGCTGGACTTGTTTCTTTTGGACACAGAGCACTGGTTGTTTGAGGCGAATTGCAATAGCCTCTGCTGTTTGGAGCAAGCGGTGCTTCGACGATTTTGGTAGTTTGTTAGGCACCCGGTATATTATGGAGAAGGATTCGTCTACGCTGGCTTTGTGACCGGTTTGCACCAGATGGTCTAATATCGAGCTGTTAATAGTTTTAACTACACCTTTACTTAGCCATAGTGGGATATGTTCTCGAGCACGAAAAATCAAGTTCCTAGAGCAACGGCCAACATAACTCGCTCCACAAGCGCAGTTGAATTGATAAATACAATTTGAAGTGGCTAGTCTAGGTACTTCATCTTTCAGTCGAGATAGCACCATCGGTCGTGTAGAGAATAAGACGTGTAGTTCACCAGCATTAAAAGTTCTTTGAACTGATTTTCTTAATTTCTTCGTAATTAACTCACTTGGTATATCGCCCATGAATTGCAGTCGTATATAAAGTGGCTTCTTGTTTACAGATAGTGGGTAGTCCTTTTCGGCTTTCTTTGTCATATGTTTCTTGATAAATTTGTCAGGATAACCATTTTCGATTAAAGTATCATATACCATGCTTAATTCATCTTTAATTACTTCTTCAGAGCATATAGCTCTAACTCTGTGGCTAAGGGTCTTCACTAAATTCCTTTTGTATTTGATGGGAACGAAGCTATGAAAGTGTGTATATTGTCCCGTCCAAGTACTTTTTCTATGTAAATTTCTTTTTATGCTACCGTCTGGTTTTCTTGTAAGTAGGACATCCATGAAGGCAGTTCTGTTTTGGGATTCCTCTTCGCATGTGAATTTCATAGCCGAATGTACTTCATTGAATTCAGTAATTATTGTACTCCTGTCGGAACCATTATCACAAAGAACAAAGGTATCATCCATATATCGGCAATAAAATGAGAGCTTACTGATAAGGTTGTTCAGAGGTCCATTTTCTAGCTTACTTAGAAAGAAATCAGCCAGAATTGGACCCAATGGGGTGCTCATTGCCAACCCGTCCACTTGCCTGTAAAGCGTGCCGTCAAATTTGAAGTTTACATTCATCGTACATCTTAATATCAATTCTTTTAGTATTTCAATATGGATTCCAAAATTAGGAAAACTTGAATGATTAAACACATTAACTGAATATTCATAACACCAATCAAGCAACAACTCATCACCGGTCTTCCTATAGTTGAAAAAAATGATATGCTTTCAGTGCTTGACTTGTTCAAGATACATGTTCTGAAATAAAGCTGGCAGGTAAAACTAACTTAGAGAACACAACCAAATAAAAACCATCCATCTGAGCTAAAATCCCTTCTGTTATTTCTAAAACCTTCCTACAAATATCTATTTAAACTGCAATTTTTTAAGAGTCAGCAAATCCAGGTTTGATTGGTTGGAGTATTTCAATACGCACCCACCGTCGTACTGCTGATGAGCCCCAGATTAGGACGAAACAGCTGCCCAGTGCTCCTAGATTTTCCAATGGTTCTCTAACTGACGTCAGCTCATGATGAAAACCTCCAACCAATCAAACCATGTCTCTACAAAACCAATACTTGAAAATTGTGGTTTATTGATAAACTATGCGGCTGCGTTATTCATGAAAAACAGAGAGAGACCTATTAGAACAAGGCATTTAGAAGACAAATTTCGCGAGATGATATCATTTCATAGTTTCTTTACAAGCGCTTTACGACCAACATGGTTCACAATAATAAAATAAAATGCATGACAATTGCTCAGTAATAAAAACAAAAGTACATACTAATGACCAATCATATTTAAATAGGTTAGGTAGTCCATGGTAGGCGAAGGTTGAAGTCTATTGTTTTCTGTACACACAGTTTACGATGCATGTGATTAATCCAAAGTGCTTCCATCACCTTTAATAACCTTGAATTAGAGTTATGTGAACTAACTGTTAAGAGATCATTAATACTGATTTTGGGACTTGACATTAATAAGTGTTTTGCAATGGATTATGCTGGATTTCTATTCCGATTAATTTTATGTATGTTTTAATAACCATTTCTTTTCGACGACATTGGAACCTTCTATTTATGAACTTGTAGATAAAGTCTGAAGTAGAGTCCACAGAATTTCGTCCTTTAATCGTAGGTACAGGGATCGAAAATGTTCGAGTTGTGAGGGGTGGAGATGCAGCGTAGAATGTGCGTTTGATGGCTGACCGAAGTCTTTGAGCTGTCAACTGCTTAATTTGATCACCCCTGAATGGTAGGTTAATAAAGATAGCTTTCTTTGGTACAGAAGCTGTCTTTTCAAGATATAGTTTATCCATACTGTGATAGTAGATAAAGTTTTCTGGATAACCATTAATTATGTATATGTTGGAGCTCATCCATCAGTGTGTCGCTCGTGCATATTTTCCGGGACCTTGAAAACAAACATTTCACTAGGTAACGTTTATACTATAACGTTTATATACTATGAGTAAAACTGGTGAAATGAAGGAATCTCCACTCCATGACATATGAACACAAGGTTGTTAAAATAGCGAAGATTTAGAAAAGCATAAATTAAGTGAGAGATGGGAGACAAAACGGCAGTAAAATGAATGGATATGAGTATCTAAAATGATTAGTGAGAAATTCAGAATTTCAAGCGTGCCAACAAAAAAAGAATTTTGAGCAATATCAATTGTCCACAACCACTGATTAGAACCACCTCATAGACCCTAATCAGGTGAGTTAAATCTGCCTACGTAGTAGTAGCCGACTTCATGTACAGCTGTTATGTTCTTGTCACATCATCCTAACCTTGGTTTGGCTGACATCACCTTTTAGGGAGGAAGTGGATCAGAATACGCAACATATGTGTCTACTATCTCAATCGACGAGTTTTCATGCCCTCATCGATTGAATAACTTTCCTCGTCTGGCACTCTAAATTGCCTCATTACTCTTCGTGTTGTTGCATACAGCGTTACTACTTCAATAAAAACATCCACAGCTAGAAACCTCCAATGACCACATGTAATCTACTTTCAGCGGAGATGTCTTACAGCTGTGTGGTCGTATACTACGGATACTCTTACATATTTAGATGAATGTCAATGCTGAGAAGAATATGATGGTTGCGACGATGATAGAGTTATACATCGACGCCAAGATTTCGTCAGCAGCTAGTTCTTTATAAGTGATACAACTTTGATCACCACCTTCAATTACTTCACTCTTTCTCAATTAGTAATGGGTTTATTTGAGATCAGTCCTGTAACATTTGACATAAGAGTTTAGATACTCCCACGCTTTTAATAGACTACAGTTTTTTCATATCTCTGGCAGAGTATTCCACTTGGTTGTGTGGAATTGTTCTTCGTGAGAATTAACAGACGTATCCAACAGACACAACTCATAGATTGGTTATTTATTTAGTTACAGTGATTAGTCTTAGTTAATACATTGTGTACTTTTTTCATTAGAGAGATATAAGTAGCTAATTTACATTAGTCAACCGTGAGGCACATCTTCTGTTTATCTCATGCACACAGTTCCTAATTTTCTCATGAAAAACCAGTGAGCTGTAATTGTAGATATTTTAATAAACTGGTTGTCTGCACCCATTTTTTATCCCCACTAAAACCAGCTGAGACTATTTCAGTCTTCGGCTCTTTTTATTCATTCATTTTACTGAGAACCAACTAGATAACTAGTATCACGTAGTCATCTGCATTTGACCACGAGTTACTCTTTGTGCTTTATTATCCTCAGAGTTCTATAGTATTGAACTTGAGTATATTTTTCGATTTAGATTCATGGACAGTCAGGTGAAGAGCCGAATGTAATAGTCGAAAGTAGATCTTCACCAACATCAACAAGTAGTACTTCAGAGCTTACCTGGCTTGATGATGAAATTGAAGGTGATTCTGATGATGATGTTGATACGGAGGGTAATCCAAATCGTTTACCCGATCCAGATAATTTTGCAACAATAATTGAAAGTACACTTGCTTGGTTATTAGCCATGGAAGAACAATTTGGACAAAATGATCTACAAGATGATACACGTAATTTCACTAATTATTCATTGAATAAATCTGAACATCTACAGTCATTGCACAATGAAGAGGATAAGAATTTCATTGCACGTCTTCAGAAAGCCAGTTCAACTGAGACTAAACTAATGCATGCTGGTATCCTGAAAAATATTGATGAAGCCAGAGATCGATTCGAAACACACGAGGTAAGAGAATAGTATTTGACTAGCTTGTGCGTGTGATCTCATGTTGATTTAATCAGTGTTTTTTTGAAAGATACATATAGGAATGTGAGTACTTCATGCTGGCAGTTTTTACTAATTTAGAGATGAGTTTTATGGCTTCTATGGGTTTCATCTGATGATATTGCACTTAGGTTTATCCTTCAATTACATTCAGAGATATGCACACAGGGGCAATGAAGCAAAACATTTTCACGTCTTCAGAGTGTGTAGAAAGCCAGAGTGAGTAATATTCTACTTGAATGAATCAGTGTTATATGCAGCTAACACATCTGCATCAATTGTATTGATTGAAGTTAATTTCCAACCTAACCAGTTGACATATGTACACAAGGTAGAATGAGTTGAGTTCTTTAGATTGTCCAAGGTTTTACTGTCCAACTTGATCCACTGTTCGCGAATATCCTTGTAAGCGTTGAATTTGTGTGGAATTAACTCCAAAGATCTAAGCGTTTAGAACGCCTTAACTTTTTTCATTTAACTGTTTGTATAAGTAAGTCTTAGAATGTGAATATTTGGTACCTGATAAGATGATGTTCTGATCAGTTTATCCTGGCAGTTTGTATCTCTTAAACTGTATAAAATGATTTGAACCACAAAAAGTGTGTTATGCTTACACATTATAACAAATTCCTTACTGTCTTTTAAGTTTTCTTTAAAGACTTGTAATCATGAAAAGACTATGCTTCATCTATATGTTGCCTCAAACCTTTTTTCTTCTTTTCAAAATCGCTGCAATGAAAATAAGGATTTGACAGCGCATTTATCACGTCGCCAAATGGCTGTTGGTCGTTGTCTGCGTCTTGGGAATCGTTTAATAAAAACACATGAAAATTTGGGCAGTATTTTAAAAGCTAATGGAAGTGAAGCAGATATTAAATGTACTCACAATGGTGGTGATAGTGAAGGAAATGATCCTGATAGTGATGAAGAGAAGCAAAGACAACTACAGCTACAACAAAAACTACGTGAATTAGACCCTCTTGTAATTCAAAGGCAAACTGTTCTTCTGGCGACAAGGTGGAATAATTTGTGTCGTTTAAACTCTGCAATAGGTAAACGTATCACTGCCAATCTGCTAAGACGACAAACTATGCTTTTGAGTGCCATACGCATCCAACTTGATAAGCTGGAAAGCGAACAGTGAGTTTTTCTTTCTAACACTTAATACCACATGATTTAATTTGCGAAATATTGTTACTTGAATAAAGTAACGTTTATCAGTAAATTTAAGAATTCAGAAGATAACATTAAGAGTGGACAGTTGTTTTCAACAAATTCTTCTTCAGGCTCCACAATTATAAATCTATTAATTTAAGCTTACAGTAGCCAATAAAGGCAAATTGATATCATTTAAGACTGAAGGTAATTTTGAGAAATTTTCTCGCTTACAAGGCAGCATTTCTGAAGTGGTTAGCAAGTAACAATATCAAACTAAAATTAGCGTAAGTCTTAAGTCCAAACATAGTAGTAGACTTGCACATATATTAAAGTCACAAGAACCATTTGACAAAATTTATAGATATCTAATATGACGTGAAAAGACAGTTACAAAAATTCGTTTCTGTTTGTTGTGCTAACAAGTTAAGCTACTCACAAACTACGCAGTAGTTAAATCAGAACAAAGCCATTTTTTTCTAAGCATTGCGCGAGTGGTAAACAAATGCAGTTACTTTGTGTATGGTAACTGGTAGTGGAACCCAGGACGCTCACTTAGTCCTATTTGTGACTGGTCAGCTGCATTTATCCGCGTGTTGACAGAGGCCGAACATTCCGGTCTAACTGATCGATGGAAGATGTGTAACTGATATCAGCATGGTAAACAGATGCTGTTGAATAGATTGAATTGTAGTGAATGGATCAACCAGAAAACTTGTCATAATTTTTTCTATCCAGACAACATTCTTATCACTTCCTCTGGTCATAAATGAATTTCCATTGCTTTAGGAATTAAATTATCAATGAAGTATAGAATACGTATTACCTCTCCTTAATGACTGATAATCTACAGAGTTTAACTTTAATTCTTTTAACCTTGTTACAGCTAGATTGTTATATTATTAGGTCATTATTCGTTCCTCACTTTTGGAGTAGAATGTCGGGGTTCGGCAATGTATCGAAACTGTACTCGGTTTTCTGTCATCAATTTTGAATGTCTGCTTGCAAGTTTTCACTACTTCTTCACATGTTCTCGTTCATGTCACCCTTAGACATCCAACCCTCAGCTTTTCATTCGAGTTTCTTAGTCTATTTTCAGTGCATATCTATTTCTATCTACATATCTGTTTAGCAATAAGTTCACGACTAGTTCACTCCTAGAGTTTCCCGCTGTGTATCCTCTCTGGACATCTGAAAGTCACTGTCAAGTGGAGGAAATCTAGTGAAAATGCTTTTCGTTATGGGCAAATGGATATGGTAAATAACTGGAAATGGAATGAAATGATTAATAATGCCTTCCATAAAAAGTCAGAAAATTTACTTCTGTACACTGGAATCCCATAGTTATTTTTATTGATAGTATAATTATGTGAGATGCTTATTTCCTTGTAAACAAATTGATCTGATTTTTGAAAATAACACCAGGAATACCCAAGCAAGTCAATCGATTGGTCCATCGATTACTGATGTAAAAAGACAACTTGAAGCTAATAGACATTTGGAACAATTAATTGAATCCGGTGAAGCTTTAGCTGAACGCTTAGACAACTTCATAACTATAGTTCCACAAAAAACAACTGATAATGATGAAAATTATGTCAATGAACGTGGATTAGAAAATGTGATAGCTGAGTTGGCTACACGATGGAGTCGTTTAGTTGGTTGGGTGAATACACGTTATGCTTCCTTACAGAATGTTTTATTACACTGGAGACATTTTGAAGAAGAAGCAAGTGTTCTATCAGATTGGTTAGATGAACGTACAGAAGAAGTGAACAAAGTGTTAGTCAATATTCTTCCATCAGTTGCAACTAATTCAAAGGAATTTATTGCCACGTCACATTCACGTCACAGTTCACTTGGCAATGACGTTGAGATGATGCATGAACAAAAATTGTCGAATTATAAATTTCTCGAAAGAGCTGGATCAAGTGGCAGTTCAGTGATGCAAACACAAGACAGCATGGAAAGAATTACCGTATCTAAGGATAATTTAAATCGTGACAGTTTACAGATGATTTTAACTCAAAATGATGCTGAAATGGAAGCAATTGATGTAAGTTAATGACTGGCTGATACTTTTATCTATAAAATAAATAATTTAATAAAAGATTGCATACAGCTCTATGATACACTGCTGTGACTATAGTCAACACTTCTTGATTTAAATACTTCATACATATATATATATATACATACATATATACATATATGTATAATGACAGAAGACAAGGGCCAGGCAACAGATCGTTTATTGAGAAAATCAACAGACATTTATATATTTTAGGTACATTATTTTTCTTTATTACTGGCAGAGAAACAGCGTCTTCTGACTGGTTATTTTCTCGCTGGAAGTTAATCTGTCATCTCTTTGTGGCCGTTTCTTTGATTGTCAGACCATATATCTGCGAATTGTATCCGCCCATGCACAGTCTTTGTTCTTGTTTTTCTCATGACCAAGATTTGGGAAGTAAACATTGACGTAAATTGTTGTCTACCAATTTTGGCTAGCAGATAGCCCTCACCACATATATGCAGTTGAGGTCATATGATACATCTTGAGAGAGAGTAGAACTGAAGTTTTACGATGGATCTAATTACTTAAGTCACAGTGTATTTCTGTTTTTTGTTCCCTTTTATTTGAACAAATAAGAAAGGTGTAATCTATTTTACTGTACTAACCTAATTGCTAGTCTTGACTGCTATCAGTTTTCTAGTAGTTTTAAATGGTTAGCAACGAAAACATTTCTAGGCTTTTTCTAATGTACACGTTGCTAAGATGTGCCAGTCAAACGTTAATGTAATTCTTTTGATTTGTTAACTAATAACGAATACAGTTTAGTATCATGTATGTACTTAGGATACAACCTACAAGTTGTTTATAATAGGTCGTGGTAGTTTTAAATAGCTGTACAAGTCTAATTAAGCCAAGAAAGAACTAGAATTTGTCGATTATAATTCCAATTGTTAGATTTTCATCAAGAAGCAAACTTAGTTAGAGAGATCATTGTAAACCAGGGTGCAGTGGACGCATGTTTCGTCCTATTTCGATACTCTTCGACGGTGAGCCCCACTACCCAACCAGGTGGCGAACCCGGAACCTTCAGGTTACGAGGCCAAGTTCGTTGACCATTCAGTCATTTGGACTGCGCTTGAGTGACCCTTGACTTCTGACTTTGTCAACTCGTGATGTAGCCTTGCCAGCACCATTGATCTCTCCAACTGGTATTGGTTCGTGACAAAAACCTAACAACGAAAATTAAGCCGAAATCCCCACAAATTCTACAAGCTGAATATCAACTTTAAGCTGTAACATGATTGTCTGAACTGGTGAACAGTGCATTTACCTTAATGATGATGATAATGGTGATGATGAATATGGCTGTTATCATTGTTTTAAGTTTAGGCACATTTGAGTTGAATTAATCAACAGTTGTATGAACCTGTATTCTTTCAAAGTAAGCTATAGTTGTTAGATAGTTGGAGGCAATCGGCAGGAAGCCTTGGACCTAGGTTTTGCGTTAGTTGGCACTCGTCAGCAAGGTGTATCTGCAACCTTGAAGGAACTCATGTCCCTTCTGAGATTCGAAGCCGCGTCTAGAATGTGGCCTAGAATGGTGACCACATTGCAAACCTGACTGACAGAATTCAGTCTGCACCAAAGAAAGGACTAGACACGTCACACTAGTTACTAGTGCCCAATGGAAAAGCTATAGTTAGTTAGCTGTGGTTACTCATATCAATTTGACTACGTCCGAGTTCTGTGCATGAGAATATTCAACGCTATAATCAAATTTACCTTCGTAAACAGCTGCAGGCCGACTTTATTATATTACTTGTTACGAATAAAAACTAACTAGAGAACCTCTGTAAATAACATAGTATTCAGCATCTATTTTGTTCTGGTTTATATACTTGTAGACCATCTAACCTTTTCTCAGTTTCACTAAAGACCGTCAAGTCTTACTTCCGGATGATTCTATTTGCAAATTGGAATAAATATTATTTAATCTCACAGCCTTGTAACTATCCTAACACTCGAGTATGTGCTTCTTATAGACCACCAACACAGTTCCAAGTTCGATCATCATCGGGATCAAAACTAAGCACTACTGAATAATGCCAAGCTAGACGAAAACAATTATCCTGTGTTTTATGGTTTTTTGGCAAAAACTCTCTGACATAAAACGTCTCCCTACAATGCCTTCAGTTGGACTCGTGATAGGCTGCCGCTAATCTTGACTCGTTCTACTGACTAATCAGTAGAATGACGAAGAAAAAAGTAGTACGTGGACAAGACAAGACAAATAATTGATTCGCTAAAGAAACTTAACCTTTAACCTAAAGCGCTTTTTCGTCGTGTGCTGCATATTAATATTGTGTAGCAGGTAGAAGAATTTAGGTTGCTTGATTTCTTTGTAACCAGTTTGTATGTTGTGAAAGTCACGTTCCAGTCTACAGACTCACTATATCACACAGCAGTAGTGTGTCCGATTAATAGACACGTGTGTGTATGTTCATCACACACACACGCACACACACATTTCGCTCACATACAAATTGTGAAATTGTTGGCAAGACATACAGTGAGAAGCACAAATCAATAAGTGTGCATGCATGCCTGCGCACTTTTTAGTGTGCCCGTAGATATGATATGTCTGTATGCAAATCTATGAGAAGCCAATCGTTTTAATGCGGTCGTGATGACGATGTTGGTTAGCAAAAAATACCTAAAGAATTTTAATCACTAACATTTGACTATTCTTATCAGATGAAAAGATCATAGATATCCTTTTTCCATCACAGAATACTGCCGAGATCAAATATTGAGAATATGGTTGAATCACTTAGATCAATAAATTTGCATTCACTGTGTTAATACTGTGAAGTTTTCATCAATTATAAAACGACTTCTGCAAGTTTCAAGGATTTGACTCATTGGGTTTGTATGCATATACAGTGGTTGTATGTATGTATGTATGTATGTATATGTCTGCATCCGTGAATGTGTGCTAGTTAGTATGCATGTGTTTGTGCTTAGATCATTCAATCAATCTGAGTTGTTATAATCAAGAATTTAATAACAGGAGCACCATTTTGAAACACAACTATTCTGTAAATGTTCACACTGATGATGACACGTTATTTTTGCGATTAAATGCATAGAACAGGTAATAAACACTTCAAATTGGAAAAATATCAGCCATTTGTGAATCAATATTCCACTTGCTCTTCAGCTTTTTTCTGTTATTGAAGTACACACACACACACACGGATTTATCTTGCATATCTTTAGTAAGACAAAAAAGGCGGAAATCATTTGATAAAATTTACATCCAACGTAAGTTGCACACTGTTATTTGTAAAATGTAAAAAACAATAATTCTGTTTGCAAAAGTCTATGTGTAATTTTTGGATTGTGGGGAATATAAGCATTTGCCTTTTATAAGATTTTGAAAAAATGTGCTATCCCAAGTGACATTTCACAGTTGTTCTCGTAACAATGTTAAGTATGATCTGATCGCCACCATACATTATGTTACGATTAGGATAGTGAAAACAGTACTACGTATACTACAGATTGAACAGAGTAGACTGAGGCTGCACAGACCAACCAGCTAGATCGAGGTAACAGCTCTTTTGCTTGTTTGGGGCCAACATGACTAACAGATTACGCGGATGGCTTCAATCCATTTTCTAGCAAATGAAATAATATTTGTTATTAGAGGGACCCACAGTGAAATGTCTGTTTTGTTTCTATATCTGCCACTTCACCGGAGCTGAGATGGTCTCAACCGATTTGGTCCTATGAATTGAATCAGTCCCAGTACATCACTGGTGAACACGGCCAAAAACTATGGAAACGGTTATCTGGTAGTTAGATCACCTTACTCTCTGCTTAGAAGACATTACACTTTGATGTGGATGGTTTCCAGATACTTTCATCATTAATTAGTCATATATATATAAAATTACAATTTCTTGGTTTCTGACAGAGAATTTCTCATTTAAGGAGGGGGTGTAGAAAATCAAGTGCTAGTCTAATTTTTACCCTGCATTCATTCATTTCGAATTTATTTACTAGTAAGGCAACATAAATAATAACAGAGAGTCTGAAGACTAGTTACTGATGGTAAGGAAGAAAACCAGTTAATTCACTTAATTATATGGGTCTGTCAGCTAGGTAAAACTCAATTTTGGTTCATCTGCATGCTGGTATATCACTACACGGTGAGACATGTGTATCCAAATACTGATGGATATTTCCTTGAAAGATATGAATTCATCGTTGTGTTTGTAAATTATATATATATATATATATATATATATATATATATATATATAGTGGTGTCGGTGACAATTATATTTTCATTACAGCTAATTTTCATTAGACGAAATCTCTTACTTTTGGGTTATTTTTCTGGAATACATCACACTACTAATTGTTTTTCCAAGTATTACAAGACTGACTCATGAGCACATAGACAGACTGTTCCATCTTAACAAGCCGCTCATCAGGCTATGATTTCTGAAGTATTTCCAACTGATTTCCAACTCGTAACCAACAATCTAATTACTTTATCAAAAATGATATATTATTCGCTTTCTGAGTGTTCACTTTCAGTCTAAGCGTTATCTTCACTTCTGCTTTCCAACAAAATAAATAGGCTTCGCTATAAGGATACATGAATAATACTCGAGTCACAGCATTGAATCATAATAAAGGTAGTAATTTTGTCTCTTAGTTCCTGTAATGCTTAAAGCAGCTATGATATGTCTGTATGTGTATGCTATCGTTCAAGTATCTTCCAGAGTTACTGTCTGTTACGTGATACTTTTTTGTTATTCTCAGTATAGATTTTTAACATTGTTGTTCATACGAGTAAAGTAGACTGTAATTAAACACCTGACAAAAATTTCAAGTGTCACATGTGTTGTTACACTCCTGTGTTATATATCTTTGACTAGATGAATTTACTGAAATATCATTATTGATCAACTTCAGTGCACATGTGTGTTTCTTTTGAAAATTCTCACTTAAAATATCATCGCATA